TAAAGAGAAATATTGCACTCTCTCTATCTCTCTATCCCCTCTCTCTCTTTAATTATAATAATAAAAAATTATTCACACCCAAACTCACACATGTGCCATTGTGTATGCTCTGCAGCTTTTTCATTTTTCTATTTTTACAAAGTTAGTGGAACTTTTATATGTTTCGATCTTCTATTTGTGAGAGTAACTAAAGCAATCACTTCAGAAATATCTCACAATCTGCCATTTATAGAGAGATTCATTAAGATCTGCATATTTCATGTACACCTAACTTTTTCTGAATAATCTTATTTTAAAAGCACGAACTGACAAATAAATAAGAAAAGGACAAATAAAAATATACAACTTTTTTAAGTGATCAGATTCTGAGGATAGGCCAATACACAACATGGGATTTGCAACTATCCAGTAACATCTATTTATGTTTTGTCTAAAAACAAAAAAGTAATATCGATATTTTGTGATGAACAATGGTATGAAACCGATCAATTAGTTCAATGTTTAAATTTTTCTAGAAAAAAGTATTGTGACATTTCATGGTTTGGAATTCAGTGAAACGGCTTGGTTCGACTCATGTCACTTTCAAGATTTGCTTACGATGAATTGCGAATTCTGCATGGAAAGAAAATTCTGCAGTCTTTCCATTAGTTTGATTTTCCTGATAGTCTTGTGAATTAGCTTTTCAAATGAAAAAATAATTAGAAATATCTGACAGTTGGCTTTAAAGATCTTATAACCGATAAAACAAAGAATTTCTTACGAAAAAATTTGAGAACAATTAAATAAAAAAATTGGTGGGGATTTTTAAGTGGGAGGGTAAATGGTATCAAAAACAATCCGAGCAAAAACACGACGTGTCTCGTGAAAGTCTCCAAGAGCAAGAGACTTGTAGTTGATCCTACGCTCTAAACTTGGGACATCCTCTGTCTCTTGGTTTCTCTTTCTTCTCACACTTCCAAACATTTTCTCCACTCTCTCCAACATAGGTCTTGACAAGAACACCTGAGATAACAATTAATGATCCCAATGAAGAACATGAAACATTTCAGTATATGCTATTGATTACTGAAATACGTGTACCAACCATATCAGAGCCCGGTGCTTGCGGGTATTTGCTCATTGCGTTAGCTATGTAGTCTCGATCATTCAATTTTCGCGCAGCTGATCTTATTGACTCTGCTAATTTTATGACCTGCTGCGATAATTTGCTCTCTGAGTCGGCACTGTCTTTCTCATGACCAGAAAGTTCTTGGAAGTGTGAGTTGTGTTGTTTGGAGTTGCTCCTTGCAATCGCGATGGCTTCTGATAAAGATACTTCACTGTAGATGGCAAGGCAGAAGGAAGCTACTACCGTGGGATCCCGAGGCTGATCGACCAATGCTTTGTGGAATGCTAAGATCCCAATCCTGAGGTTAGTAATCCCCAAAAATGTTAACCAGGCAAAACCAATTACTAAGATAGATGCGTTAAAGAAGATTTCTCACCAGAGGAACTCGTTGCATGGTCGATCAGGTGCTACAAGTCGATCAAGGTTGCGAAATAGGGACTGCAAAGGCGAGGGTTTAATCAGTTAGCCTTATGGAACCATAATTTCACTCTCTAATGTAACTATTCTAGACAGGAAGTTGCCATGTCTAATTGAGAATGCAAAAATATATACCAGAAGCATGTTGGACCTTCCATCACGCCTCCGGAAGCCTTGGGAAACAAGATAAGATGCCTGCGAATACATAAGTGATTTTGATGTGAACAACAGAAAGTACTCAGTGTACCACGCCATAATGCCATACTGCTAAAGAAAAATTACCATACCTGGATAGGTAGAAGAATTTCCATGAGGCCAAATCTCCATAACAGCCGTAAAGAAGCTTCTGCGGACCCATATGCCAGCATATAATTGATTTCCATCCGAATCCTTGACTGCAGAATTATTAGAACATGATAGAAAATGTTCAGTCCTAACCTAACAAAAAAAAGTAACTGGAGGGGAACAAAAGAAGGGAACGAGATATACAGGGTCAAGTCTCAGCAATGAAGAAGAAAGCTCCTTCACAGAAATAGCAACATCTTTAGTCAAGCTGAACCCTAACCTCGCTGCAATCCTAATTGCACGTAAAATGCGAGCTGTAAAGTGAACAGCGTTACCTTTTTGAAGCCTTTCCAAACAAATAAATTTTATACCATTGATAAAAACATTGCATCTGCAACTGACCTGTATCCTCGACAAATGAAAGCTTCGCTGCGGATACTGTTCTAACCTACAGAGCAAACTACGACTGATTAGGACTTATACTACCAATTCATTCGCATGTCAGTTGATTTCTATAACTCATGATAGCTTAATTGTAAAACCTACTTTAGAATTCCTTATATCTTCAACTCCTCCTATATAGTCATACACTACATTCTCTGATAGATCAAACATCAACCTGAAAAATCCAACATATGAATGTTAACCGATGCTGCATATGGATTCCTCTTCACAAATAAATGTGAAATACAGATAGAGAGGTACTGTCTACCCATTGACTGTAAAATCACGCTGTAAGCAATTCTTCCAACGGATATAATCACGCTCATCGCAGCCCGCAGGCTTTCTCAAGTTTTTACTAGGCGCTTTACCAGTCCTTGCTGAAGTACTAAAACTTGACACCTGTAAAAGAGAAAAACTCCATCAAGACTTGGGATACAATTTTATGAACTTGAGAGAAAGATGGAGAGAGATAGGAAAAAGTGTAAAATAAGTGAAATGTTGAACAAACCTCTATGATAATATCATCAACATAAACATGACATATGGGAAATCGTCTTCCAACAATTTGACAGCGGGGAAATACTTTCCGTACCTATACACACACAAGCGATGATTCAATACTTAAAAATTTGTGAAGCAAGATTAAGTTCATTATAAAAAGGAGAAAAGATACAAGAGTGTAGTAGTTCCATAAGATGATTTAAACCTCCTTGAGTTCTGCTGTAGTGATAACATCAAAATCCTTGGGGATTCTATCTAGAATAAGATCCCGAACACAACCTCCAACTAGGTAAACTTGAAATCCTGGAAAATCATAGCAAAAAATGCATATTTCAGGAAGAAAAAAAAAAACAGCCTTTAGCCATTCTTCACATTGTACTAAACTAAGCAATCTCAAAAGCTTGAGAGGGTTCACATTATACTAAAGCCACAAACACACAATCTTTCAGGCACAGTTCAAAAGAAAATCCAACTATCTCAGTGCTAATTCAAAGCCTAAGTAAGCAATTTACACAAAACTTGACAAGAAGTGAAACCTTTTTTCTTAAGTTTATTGAGAACCATCCGTGTAGAATCTGGGATCATTGACCTTTGAATACCAAATTCATCAGCATCTAACTTCTTCCACGGCATTGATTTATCCTTATTACTTCTCCGTGCTCCACTAAAATCTTCGATCGTTTTTACACATAAGTCAAACAAAACAATTCCCGCTTCGTTAGAATCAAAATCACAACTTTTTTATTGAATTGAATCAGAATCTTCAAAAATATGATAATCACCACGACTTTCTTCCTTGCGCGGTTTCACGACATTTCTAGGTGCTGCGATAGCTCGAACACAGCCGCAATGACCAATCTAAACAATAGCCATTTTTGAGTGTTGTTAGCTACGAAGGTGAAGAAGAAAACAAAGAAGATGGAACTGAATCATAAAATTTCAAAAGGGAAACGAAACTGTAGATGTTCGGAGAGAGAAAGGGAGATCTCTAATGGAGCCATAACAAGGTCGGCAGAAGACTAGAGCTTTCGATGAGACACCAAATGAACCATACGCCATTGAAGAAAGCTTGTTGAACATATCACGACATTACGAGAGTCGGAGAAGAAGAAGCTAAACAGATCGGAGGAATCGCAGAAGGAGATTCTTTGGGGAAGAAGATAGTTTTAAGAAGAAAAAAAAAGATATGAGGCCTTTAAAGCCCATTATAAATTGTTATTGGGCTCATCATTACCATTAAAATCCCAAAACCAAATTTTAACGGTTCAGTCTTGGTTTCGGTTTGGATTATTCTGTTTTTTCTGTTAATACGGCTGAAAAATTAGTGTCAGTTTAGTAAAGTGTTTGGTTTCGAATTATATAGTATGGTGTCAGATTAGTAAATTATAAATTAAAATTTGGTTCGGTTTTTTGTTTCTCCAAAGTTTCTTCGGATTGGTTTTGGTGTATATAGAAAAATAATCAACATTCTATCCATATGTTTAATTTTGTTTTTATTATAGAATTTCTTTTATTCTGTTCGAATTGGATTGATTTTGTTTGTCCAAGTTGAACACTTTTAAAAAGAAACCCAAACACCAAGCTAAGTCAGGGAGGGGCTGCGTTCAAGTCTTTTAGATCATATCGATAATATATTTATAACAACTTACACAAAAAAAAAATCAAAATATGATGATGCCTTGAATGTTAGTTACTTTGTTAATGGGATAAGCCAAAAAAGTGTTACTCCATCTTTTTCTTTTTCAAAATATAGGATGTTTAGGATAAAAGCACACTTTAAAAAATATATTTTTGTTTTTAAAATCTATTATTTATTTTTAATTTAAGAAAATTCAACTAATGATACAAAAGACTACAGAATATAAATGGTCATAAAATATTAAATATATTTTAAGTTGCATAGAAAATTGTAAAACATGTTAACTTCTGAAACAAAAAAAAATTTCTAAAACATCCTAAATTTTGAAAGAGATGGAGTATGTAATTATATCAAATTAAGGGAATAGATAGACTACTTTCACAATGCCCCTGAAAATAGTAATCATGGTAACATGACCAACCAAATGCAGGAAACTAAAGTAATAAGAGCGTGTCTAGGGCTTATAGGTCAGTAGTCAGACCACTTGTTTGGCCCGTATGACACCACTTCCCTACAACGGGATGATATGAGCCAGAAAGTAAAAAAGTAAAAAAATAATAATAATAATAACATTGAGGAAATGGAGAGATATATCAAATAAAATTAGATCAAAAACCCAAACAAAAAAGAGAGGGATATATAATTAAACACATTATGATGATCGAAAAATGTTAGACTTAGTGCAAAAACTAATTGAAATAAAGATTTAATTAAGCAGTCCTACCATAATGCAAAATCATTACATGATCAGTAGTTGATGAGTCCCGAAGCAAAGTGAAAGAGTGAGATGATGGTGATTTTGGAGTCCATATGGAATCTCTTACATGCTGCATCGTCAACAACGGCGATAATTGTTGTCCTCTGCATCTTATTTCTACCTGTTTCCATCACACAAACCAAAATTGGAGTCAAAATCACATCAATATCCATAATATGTGCTCGTGTGTGTGACACACTGACATGAGACGCTAGCTAAAGGTAAGAGTGGTGGTTTTGACAATTAAAACTATTAAATGTAATTTAGGTAATCTTTCTTGTCGATAGAAACTACTTCTTCTATTTTTAATTAATAAAATGTTTATTATATATATATAAAAAGACCCATATAATCAGATTCAAACGGTTGGCCAAAAAAATTGGACTGAACCGTGATCTGCAAACTTGACCGGTTAGATAGCATGTTTGGTTTTGAAACATTGCATGGTCTATAACTATAACTAGTGGTAGACTGGTAGTTAAACTCTTAATTTGATTTTGTTTTAAACGTTTACATTAGAGAAACTTGGGCTTTAGTCGTAGTTAGAAGTATATGTAAGTATGTAACGTATGCCTTACCCTAAAATATCCACTTTTCCTCGACTTGACGCCAAAGATACGAAGTGGAAAGTAATTGCACCAAAGGACAAAAAAATACGAAGTAGAAAAACAAATTTTAAAAGTTGACACTGAAAAGAAAGATAAACCAAAATATGGTCAGCTCGAGATAGGATAAAATCATCTCAAACTATTTTGTAGGCTTAATTTTTTTAAAAAAAAATCCGAGGATCTTGTTTTACTTTTAAAATTGTGTAATCGAGCACGAATTCTTTTTAATAAAATAAGTATTAGTCGCGCCTTAAAATCATGTTTCCATGCACGCCGGCAATACGCTTGTTTCTAATTACTTCCTTCATATATATGCGTCATTTTTGTGTAATATAGTTGAATTTTGTGCTTCAAATTTTCAAGATGTTGTGAAATCTAAAGAAAACAGAATGATATGACACCAAATGCAAGGTTCTGCAATTATGTTCTATACATCAAAAAACGAAATGCTACTGTTTCCTTTATGTAATCAGACAAAGTTTTGTGTATTATTTTGCTGTTGAACTGTCGAGCGTTTCAAAGCTAGTGTTTGATTTATTTAATGATTGTAGGAACGTGATTGGTTGGTGAGGAGATGATCAAGTTATTTCAAAATTCATGAAAGTGCCCCACTTGGGATTACGATGCGACATTTTACACAAACCCTCTAATATATGCTACTATATTTGAAGAGAAAATAAGATAATAGCTGACCTTAGCAAGCATAAGCATGACGACAGAGTTAGGATAGTTTTGTTTTGCTTTTTTACATGCACCATTATAAGAAATTAACAATTCCACTTAAGAAAATTGAACCATGGATTGGAGATTGGCTTTTGATAGAACGGTCAAGATCTTATACAAATTAATTTTAAAATAAATTTCGCAAATGGTCATTTGTTATAGATTTCCCTTCTAGTATATATTAACAATTTTCAAACCCAGTGTTCACGGCATTTCTTTTAGAGGAAAAATTCAATACTTTTTATTATGTAGACTTATGTCTGGATCTTAGCGAATTTTCTGACGGTAATTAGTTAACACACACGAAAATTTAGATATGGCATGTCCTATTTGAACCAATAACATAGTGATCATTACCTTACTTTTTCTATTCATCGGCACACACCCTCTTAATTTTCAAAGCCTATATATAGTTGCCGTATAAATGATGTAGTGATTAAAGAGAATATGTCTATAATCGATTCCTAAGCAAAAGTATCAAGCACAAAACTAGCATGACTTAATTAGAATTTACCCTGTATTAAAATGTTTAAGCTAATTTGATTGACTTTTAAATGGAGTATCAACTAATTAACTGACTAGGAAAAGTATGAAACTATCCAAAGATCATTTAGGGAAACTTTTATATGCTTCTGAGTGGGAAAGACAATATTTTTGGCTCGACGGAAAAGACAAACTTAGCCATGCATGCATCAATGCTTTCAAATCACGTTTTTCATCAAATGATTATTTGAATGAGAATTTAATATGTCACCTATCTATAAGTCTATCATGGTGCTATGTAGTTTTTCATCATCAATATAAAATGTTTTAACAATTCTTTAATTAATTAGTCGGACCAAATATCAATATATTCTTGTGACGACATACTCACGAAAATATGTAAAAACCTGAGAACTTAAGCAGTAAACGAAAAAAAAATTGATTTTTGTGAAATAAAATCATGTTAGCCAGGTTACTTGATTACCAAAATATTTAGGGTTTGGTCCAACATTTTCTCTGACCATGGCAAATAATTTGGCTAGCCACTTTCCTATCGCTAAAACGTAACATGCTGTTTTTTGAAGATTATTTTTGTACACGGCCAAGTGATGGTACATTGGTACGTTGATAATTTCAAGAATATTTTTTTCTTTCAAGTTATAAATTATGTATTTATCTAAACTATGATTTTTAAGTGTACTTAGTAGAAATTGATCGCTAATCTCGACAAGAAGAAGACATCAACTCGCATGTATTTAGACGTTAAATACAAAACTAATGTTTTAAAAGTATTGGTCGTTTATTAGACATTATTTTTAACAAAATATATTTGTCATGTAAAATGAAATCACGCGTTTAATAAATTTGCAAGCGCTAATATATTAATCTGGATTAAAAACACTATATATGTGTACACACACGGATCTATACATGCAATTGATTCTTGTAGGGCACAAGAGTTTATATATCGCATGAACATGTATTTGTGAGCCTAGCTAGAGGAACATGCAATATACTTAGATTATTGTAAATTCTGATTAACGAGAGCATCTACACACACATACGCATGTAAGCTTTTTAAGTTTGGATTAAGATATCCTTTCTTTTCTGGTTTCTACTATTCTCAAAGCAAGCATGCCTGATGACTCAGACTTGTTTTTATATTTTTCTTAAAAATTTCATTATTATAAATTATTACTATTAATATAACTATATTATGGCATGAAACTAATGAAATGGCCAGTTATAGTTCCCCTCTCGTTTTCCAGTTTCCTATGAGAGAATATATAATGATAATAATTATTGATAAGGTGGTGGGTACTTCGAGAAACGATCAATCAACAACCTAATTAACCACTATTAATTTTGTTACGTTTAGTTTTCAAATGCGATATAGACTGATTTTTGGGTGATCAAAATTCTGATTAGAAAGTTGGTAAGGAAAAAAATTCTTTTGATGCTTCATTGTAAGCCAAAAATATTCATTTATTTTTTTGAATTAATTAATTAATTGAACACATCGAATGGAAGGAATCGAATTTATAACTCCGAACCCTAGGTTATTCATGAGTATTAATTAGATTGGCACCTAAATAAGGATGTCATGTAGCTCTCAAAATTCAGAAAGTGGTTTTCACTCAACTGTATTACTATAATTTGAATACCTCTAGCCTTATAAGTTATAAGACTTAAAACTGAACTATATAAGTTAGAGAAGCTACGACACCATGACATCAGACTTGTGACCTAATAAGTTGGGGATTTAGTTCCAATGTCATTTTCATTTCGTAGCCCCAAAACTTGGAAGATTAAAAAAACATATAAAAGAGTTAGAGTTTATATATTTACCTCAGATTCGCTATCCAAGTCAAGTTTCTTCATAAGGTACTTAATTAGCAATCTAACGGTGATTCTCCCATCTCTTATCCATGCAAATTATATAGAAAACAAATTTGCAAATTAGAATATAATTAACAGAAGTAATCGTTAGTAACTCCCCTAAACTAAGAACTTTTATAACGTATGAGACAAAAATAGACTTACTTGATTCTCAAGTAGCTTTTGTTCACTTGAGGCAGGAACGGTTCCTTTTCCCTGCGTTCACAAATCGAATGTTATAGAATATATATAGAGGGAATATATAGATACATATGTGTAACGTACTAAAATAAAGAGAATTAAATTGAGAAAGGATTAAGGAAAAATACATACTGAAATTGTGAAGCTTGAAGAAGAAACCAAAGACCAGAATGTGGTCTTCTTGGAGGATCAAGAACCCTAAACTCGGAGCTTGGTCCAGCTCCTCCCTCATCCACACAACAACTCTTTGAAACACTGTTATTGTTAGTGACGTCACGGTCACTCAATGATGACGGTCTAAACGGTGCCGTATATTGCGGTATCCACGGCTTTGAAGATGGAAACGAAAAGCCGCGATTTAATAACGTTTGAGACCTAATTAATTGGTGATTATAAACCAATGACGGTCCACGCATCGTCAATAACTGATCATGATGATATGGTAGCTGCGGCGGTTGCGTCGGTAGGTGATCTACACTATTACTAACCGCTCCTGCCGCGGTTGAGGATGAAGAGAACAAGCTGAGCTCTAATGAATTCTCTCTTCCACTTCCGTTTTTGCTACAACAACGTTGGAGCTTATACGACCCCGTGTTATTGTTGCTCTCCTCAGGGCCTATACCTAAACGGAGCCAAGATTTGTCTTTATTATCTTCTACGTTAATAGAACAAACGACGTCGTTCTTTGCGGCCGTTCCATCGTCTTTCACTGGAGAAGAAGAGATGTTATAATAATCAGTAGAAGCTGCTGTTGGATCGGATACGGAGCATGTATCTCCGCTAGGATCTTGATTGTTTGTAGATGTTTCTCTCATCATCATCGCGTCCGTGAAACCGCCGTAAACGCCGAAAAGCGTTGAGGATTCAAGAGGAACCATATTGGTCATATGATCTCAGCATGAGTCATATATGGAGGGATTATTGAAAAGTGAGAGGAGGCATGGTTTTGTGGAGAGGAAATGATTCTCATGAAGAAGATAAGGGTTTTGTTTATTTATTTCTTTTTTAACTATTTAATATATAGTTCTTTCAATTATTTTATATGCGTAGGGTTGTGAGTGAGAGAGGACGAGGAAGAGAAATTATTCCTTTGAAATCTTACTTTCCATTAATTCTCTTTGTTTGGAAGCTTGTGGGAATGTAAGCAAGAGAGAGGGGTGTGATGGTCTCTCTGTCTGTCAGATTTAATTCAATAAAAATATCTGAAATTATGAAAAAAAATTCATGTACGTAGAGATCATATATACGTAATGTAAAAGTTTATGTAATTTAGGACTACACTTTTTCTTTTTCTTACTCAAAATGAATAAACAATTTTAATTATTTCTGTAAAAGTTTATTTGGGTTTTATTGACTTTAAAAGGACGAAAGGTATGCCTATGTGAAGAAAAGGATGAAATGGGGTGTGATCGATCCAGCTAATCACTTTTTTAAGGCCATGTTCCGAGGACAAAAAATTGACAGCCAAAGTTATTATTTTGTTTTAAGGGAATTTAATTAGTAATATCCTTAAAAGTTTGTTTTTAGCCCTAATTGGGTGGCTTTTTAATGAGATTTTGGGATATTTTCTAGCTATTTATCTCTTTCAAGTTGGTTTCTCTTTATTTTTTTTGGTAGAAGGGAAATTTTCCAAGGATGTACTCTCAAGTCAAATTTAATTCTTCACTATATATTGATGTTTTTTTTTTGGTGAGTACTATATATTGATGTTTCAGAGCATAATTCATGTTAATTTAAATATTATTTCGATATTATTTATCAAATAATTTATTTTGCTATACAAATACAATAGAGGTTAACCACATTTTATATAATTTCTTACACAAAACACAATAAAGAGTAATGACCATGAAAATTTTGTACAAAGTTTATTGAAAAAGTAATATATAAAAGCACCTGTTATTGGTTAACTTTTAACGCACAGAAGTTCATGTTAATTTAACTTTTATAATCCGAACCATGCTACATATACATGTAAAATATCATATATATATATATATATATATATATATATATATATATGTGCGTTCCATTTTTGTTGTAATGATAGTCAACTAATTTAATCTTCAATTACGATCATTGCAATCCCCTTTTTGTTTTCTATAAAAATCACTCATTTCCGAAGATATTTCAACAGTCTTACAACTTTATCTTTTCATTAAAGTCTTACGAAATAACATCATAAGTTAATCATCATGTGTATCAACTATCAACCCTAGCAAAAGAATTTGCGAATATCGAGGCGCTAACATAGATGTTATACTGTGTTATATACTTATATTTATAACTAAAAATAGTCTGTGTAGAAGTATTTTGGTCATAGAAATTCAAGTAACTTAATATTGAAAATTGATATATTGTACGTAGTATAGTTTCAGCTTGACAAAAAAAAACAGTAGCATTAGCTTTCAATAGATATGCTAAATATTGATTTAAGAAAAAAAATTCTAGTATATGTTTGTAATATCTTAAATTAGTGTTTGTGGTTAAGTGTTTATAATATTTATCAAAATCGATGCATTTTTTTTACTCCGCCACTTATCTAGTGATTGATGGTTTGATGTTAATAATGTGTAAAACAAAGGTATACGTGCATCTTGTTTATTTTTTAAGATTGTTTTCTAATATATGAAGGAGAGTACTTGAGTTGCACTTAATTACACATATGCATATAGAGAGAAAGGGTGCATGAGTGACTTGATAAAATAATAAAATATATCATTTAGATTAGAAATGAGGCAAGTGGAATGGGCAGAGAGTGGAGAGGAATATGATGACAATATCTGTCAAAAATGTCAATAATAAGAAAGATTACTTGGAATTTTACATATATAGAATATAATATCTATACATGCATGATGGGAAGTTGAATCAAACTAAAAGGAAACCATAAAAGGGAGCGTGAAGAGAGAATGAAAGGCTAATAATAAAGAAATGATGTAAGTGAAATAAAGTAGGAGTAGAAATTGGTAAAGCATGGATTTTTTTTTCCTTTTTAATATATGTAAGGGAAAAATGTGGGTTATATATTCGATGGTTGTAGGACGACATGAATATACAAAAGAAAACCCTAAAATGGTATAATAAAAACCAAGAAAAAAAAAAGATAAAAAAAGAAAAGAGAAGAATAATGAAAAAGAGAGTTGGGCATGCCGCATGCATGATGGTGTTTGGTATCCCCACAGCCCGAGGACCCAAACCACAGACGACATGGGGACTCTTCTGCTCTTTCTCTGAACTCCATGTGACCCCCACCCGATTGTTTTTACGTATATACATAAACACATATATATATATATAACCAGAGCTATAGTAGATCCAGGACCGAAAGTCCGAAACCCAAATTACGTATATACAAAACCGAATATTTTGCTATTTAAGACGTTTATAGTAGCCAAGAGGAGACCACAATAATTGACGTAGATAGTGAAACTTAACTTCAACTTTGAATCATTTAATTTTCTATCAATTCGAACAAATGATGGAATGAAACATTCCTGATTACATACATATACTTTGCAGTATGCACTCGGCCAATTGTTTTTACATTTGGTTCTATCTCTACATGCATGCATCTTTCACATAAGTTGTCTATAATTTTGAAGTCTTTGCTGCATGCTGTCACTTTCTTACCTTCCGAAGAGCTATTATGTGCTTTTTGGATCAATATCAACTGAAATTCTACCACAGAAAATAGTAGATAGTGGTCGACAAAAAAGGTAGACAATAGCCGAATCCTAAGGGGGAGTTTTTCTACGTAACGAGTACGAGTTTTGATGGTAAAAAATGAAATAATTTATTAATTTGATATATTCTTGAACTTGAATATTATATTATTTATCGAATGTTTGAAGCTTCTTGATAATTGAAATAGAAAACAAATAACTTTTATAATTATATACGAAATTGTCTATATAAAAGCTCATAGTTTATCCCTAATATCTGATCATAAATATATATTTTCGTATAACAAACTTCCTGGTGAAATAGAAGTAGCCAGATATTCCCTAAACTAAAAGACAATTAATGCTAATTTATGAATGTTTAGTGAAATATACTTCTTAATTACTTTTTGTTTATTATGATTAGTTATTGATCCGTACAACCAAAAAAAAAAGAATTTGCGATGGTGATAAACTGATGATAAGCATGAGTCCAACGTAGACTAAGATTTTTTTTTGAGAAAATTAACATCTATACCACATTTGGCCCAATTTTTTTTCATTCTACCACATTGCAGGTCCATTTATCACTCATACCACAATTGATGTGTGTAATGACTATTTTGCCCTTCTTTTTGTTTGCTCAAATTTCGGGGACAAAATTCATAGTTTGAGCACACAAAAGAAAGTTTACATACAGTTGTCCCCGAAGTTTGAGTCTTCCATAATTTCATCTTATTTTTGCTGGTTTTTGTCCCTCAATTTTAATTCATTGTTCTTGGATTTTAGTATGTAAACTCTAATTGCGATCTTTTCATTTTGTTTGATGTTTATATTTCGTTTGATTATTGTCTCCGAATAGGTTTTTTGTCCCCCAGATACTTGTCCCTAAATGTTGCACTTTATCTGCCACATCAGCCGAGGGCAAAACCGTCTTTTTCATAACACAATACCACATGAATGTGGTACAAGTGCTAAATCATTCTCCATTGTAGTAGAAATGCTAAGGAATTTGAAAAATGTGGTACATTTAACAAAAATCCCTTTTTTTTTTGGTAAAAGATTTTTTTTGAGGGTATCAAACCTGGGTGGATCAACGTATAACAAATGTGATTTTTGTTTCCAAGATGGATCAAACCTGGGTTAGTTTCTTCCAACCTTTCTCCAATTCTCTCTTACCACTAGACAACAGCCGTGCGGGCAACGTAGACTAAGATTGATCTGGTGATCCTACTAACTTAGCAGCTTATTAATCTTAGTGAAATATTTTAAGAAACATTATCATTACTAAATCGTTGCAAAAATTTGACGAAATTTTGACGTAGCAACAACTACTGATTGACTATTTCGTTGTCATATCTCGCTAATTTACTGTAGTATTATAGAAAAAAGGTTTTAAAACAGAATAAAGATAACTGTGTAGTAAGGAACCTTTTTGAGCATGCATATTAAGATGCGATCGGAATACTCATGTAAGTGTAGCACTGTCTTTTTTTTTTGGTAAAAGGCACTTTAGTCCGACCTGAAATTCTCAAAACATGTATATATATTTTTAACTCGGTTTGGTCAGATCCGTTTTTTCTCGATCAGATTTGTATTTCAAAATCCACTCCAGCCTAGATGAATACAAGATAAACCTGAGTTTTGTTAGGAACAACACAAATTTTAAATATTTACGAACCAATTATTTTTAAAAAAGTTTAAGTTAATTTAAATGCAAAAGTGAAAGAACCCTATAGTATATATTAAATCCAATAATATATATATATATATACACAACAAATGGTATGTTTCTTTGTTTATAAATTATATATAATGGTATGTTTTTCATACGCTTTGAAATTATGTCTATCATGTCTCTAATGTTCAAGGTCCTAAGACATGAAAAACAAACTCAGAAAACGAAATTTTGGAATTCCCATCTGGTTTATTACATATAGGCGCTTGATATTAATTCTTTCGAAGTTGGAGGATCCATAGATATGGATGTTACAACTCGCTTCATGTCAGACATCATAAATAATATCGATAGTTCTGGTGAGGAGTAGAGCACCATAACACCTGAGTCTCCCAACTTTTATTAGACACCCACCTTATTAGAATTGAAACAAAACTCAAAAGGAACATATCATCACATCCTTAAGAGATTAAAAAAAAGAAAAGATATGGATAGTTGGGAAAATTATAACATTCTTAAGAGAAATACTACATGAAGTGGTATAGAATGATGGGCCCATAACACGTAAGATTGTAGTTGTTTTAAGAAAGTTCAGAACGAGGTATTTCATTCTAGAATATATATGAGCTTCAAAGGGCAATTGAGGAGTGATAGCTGCAAGAGCATAAGATGGGGGATACGTGCTTCGTAATAGCTAAACTGAAAACACTTTATTATAGAATGGAGCATATATAAAGCTTATGCATAGAAGTTTGAATCACATTTTCAAAATGACTCATATATTCTTTACTAAGTTCTTAACACAATTTAACGAAATGATCTTCATCATTTCGGACAATAGCTTTCCAATATGGTTAAGTTGTTCACACAACAACTTGAAATCACGAAGATAACTAGACATATCTCGACTTCCTTTAGTAATAACTCCCATAGAGGTCAATGAATCAAAATCCCCAGATATAAAGCTAATGCAATCCAAAGATCTTGTTTACAAGTTGACTTTTTAATAGTATTATCAAGCATTTAATGTGACAGTATTAAGCATCATTAGTTATATGATGATAATTCTTCTTTGATTGTTATGGTTCATTGAATGTGAGCTGTAGTTGCTGCGAATTACTACCATTTAAAATATCTATCTACATGGATGATTGCAAAAGTTGACAATGTTAGGGGAAAATACCATTCAATTATGGTTCGATTATAATTTGTTGTATAAAGTCATTTTTATTGTGGTCAAAATCAAAAAAAAAATTCATGGAAAACTTTTGATTTATAAACTAAAATTGGAAACAAGAGAATTAAACAGAAATTGTGGTAAATCACATGCTTGCAATCATTATGCTTTTAAAATTTTCTTTCCACGCAGCGCGCGAGTCTTAAGGGCTCTTATCTTCATTGACCAACTTTAATGCATCAACTCTCCTAAACAAAACTCTCAACACTCTCTTCTTTCATTACCAATCGATATTATCAACCTCACAAATCAGTTAGTCCCATAAAAAACCACCAATCTATTTAGCAAAGTACGTAAATCCCATAAAAACATGTAACCATACTCGATTCTGTATTCAAGACATTTGTTGTGTTTTTCTGTTCGATCCGTTTGTTGCATTGTCTGTTCTGCTTTCACTAATCCATGTTGTTTATCTTTTCCAACTACTTTGAGATATTGTCTTTAAATCTCGTATTAATGCCACTCACACACAAGACGACCACTAGTTTATACATATACAACTCAAGATTTTTTTAAAAAATAAGGAGAAGACAAAGACATAAAAGGAAAGCCACAAATCTATGTGAAGAAAAATAAAAATGAAAATGAGAAAAGAAAACAACAAAGAAAGATAGGTTTAAGGAGATCAAGTAGAGTGAGGTTGATCAAAGTGAAGAAGCTGAGTTGCACACTTGGGGCAATCCTTTAAGAGCTTAGGTACCATGAAATACATGAAACAAGCTTTGCAACCAGCTACCACAAGAACATCTTCTTCTTCTTCTTCCTCGTACTTGTGATTCTTTCTTCTCGACGAAGGCGACGACTCTGATGAAGACTCTTCGCTTTCATAATACGAGCTAACTTCTTCTGATGAAAACACTGTTCCATACGATTCTCCACTGGATTGTTCTGCATTGTTGCCCCGGCTCACCGATTTTCTCGGATCTTTCTTCACTCTCATTCCACTATTCCAGCTTCTGTAGTAGATCTCTCCTGTCTATAAAGAAATACCCACCTCAGGATCTCTCATTCCAAAAGCAATAAAACTTAAAACTCCTAATTTGATTCAAAGCTAATATAACCCTAATGTCCCAGAAGTAAAGTTTTTTACTTTGTTTCTTTCCAATGCAAGAAAATGCACCCCAAGTTGTGTGACAAAATAGCTTGGACTAGATTTATTATATAACTTTTATCTGCAAAAGCAATTTCAAATATATTTCTTCCCCCAAAACCAGAATTGTATCAGTTTAAGGCATCTATTTTAGCTATTCAAATCACGCTTGAAACCAAAACCCTGTGAGCATTTAGAGACAAAACAAAAATATCAATTGTAAGGAAACATGAGAGGAATCTGTTTTTTATTTTGTGTTAGATTCCTTTTACCTTAAGATCAAGACACTGTTCCAAATGAGAAGGAACAGACAAGTGAGAATTGAGCTCCAAAAATCTATCTGAGATCGGGATATGTTCATCGCTCATACCAAATCCATCTCCGATACTACTTCTCCGATCAATCAGTGAACAATTCTGCATCGATCTCTCCAGATATTCTGTTATATCAGCCATCTCCTCTGATCACTATAATGTTTCCAAAAGCAGAGGAGAAAAAGAAGAAGAAACAAAGAATGTTTTGAAGGAATGAAAACAAAAAACACGAAGGATGATGACTCTTTAATCAAGGAAAAGGAAACAGAGTTTGAGGGGTAGTTTGGGCATTTCGATGAGGTCACGCGCCCGTGTTGGTGGAGATTGTTGGGTAAAGAGAAAGCTTGAGGAGGTGTAGCTGTCAGGTACATATTGAGCACTCAGGCTCGCATTTTGTCGCACGTTTCGACCAACTTCTACACGCGCGGCTCATGCTTCTGACTATACACCTTATCATGATGTTATCTATAAAAACTTTATAGTTTTGTTTATGTCATTATCACACTTAACCAATGGTACGTACTTTTGGGCTGTGAATCAGATTTCAGATAATTCATGTTGCATCAATCATCAGCCAAAACAGATCATTCTTGTTCAAAACTAAAATACCGACAACAGAACAAGCAAGGGGAATATATGTTCAAACAAGTGCAATAACATGTGCAAATAGTTAAAGCATTTCAAGGTGTGATGATGATGATATGAGGAAGAGGATTTAGTCGTCTGAGTAATTGACAGCAAGATCCCAGTAGTGAACAACACCAGCATCCATGAAAACTTTCTTGGCAGTGGATTCCGTCACACAATCGTGTACATGAAACCTATGAAAACTCGGTTTCCCAATACTTCCTTGCCAAACCAACCAACATTTGTTTCCGCCATTCACTTCTTCTTCTTCCTCATCTTCGTTCTCATCCTTCTTCTCTGCCTCTTGCCAGTTTATTCGCTTCAGCATCAGCTTTCCGTATCTCTTTATCGCTTTGCTCTTGCCCTCAACCACAACCACACTCATTCCCTCCGTCATCACACTACACCCTGTTAATCTGTTCTCTCTTGCATTCATCTCCACTTTGAATCTTGTTTTAGGATGCGATAGCTTTTTGATCTTGTACACCGACACAATTGTCTCAACCGTTGTTGGATCATCGAAAAGCTTCCTCTCTTTCTTCTCACGTTTCTCTGCAGGGGTTAGCTTCCGGGCGGCATTCCTGTCCGTATGTGCCTGTTCACGCTCCGCAGCTGCTGTGCGGATCTCTTTTTCAAGCTTGGTTGGGTCTTGGGTCGCTTCAGACCCAAGAACCTTCATTAAGTTACTCATCTTCACCTTTGCCTTTGGTGGTTCCAGCAGCCCTTGCCTGATCATCTCCTGTTTCTCCTTTTCTTTTGCTAGACGCCTCTGGGTTCGAAGTTTCTTCTGTTCCTTCTTTGTCAGTTTAAGAGGTTGGGGTGGTGGAGGCGCTGCCTCTGCAGGTGGCTCTATGGGACGCGGATGCTCAATGTAATGAGTAAGTTTTTCTATCTTCAGATGGCTTTCAGTTATGGTGCCATCAGCTATGTCACCGTATTCGCCATTGATGAGGACATTTGCATCCCTGAAACATAAAACAATTATGAACTAAGAAAACTCATCATGAACATATACAGAGAAAATAGAGACCAAAACGGCAGAGCACAAAGCAGCCAGATTAACTATTTGGTCTGGCATTGAAACTTTGAAAGGTACTAAGTAGATCATAATCATCAGTACATTCATGTTACCATATTCTACTAGTAATCACACTGTTGCTGATCACAAAACCATTGAACTTTCAGAAGTTGTATGTGGAAAACTAGAGCACATATGCCAACACTCAAAGAAATCAAAGCATTGCAATATTAATTGTATGTATCCCACCAAAACGAAACGAGAGAATAATTCAAAAAAGAAACAAATAACCCTAAACCAACATGAGCAACAAGAACAAACAATTATGTGAATGTCATCTGTAGCTGAGAGCTAACTGAAGTTATTTTATGGTGATTCATCACTTTCATCAAATACCCCAAACGTTACAAGATTAGTTTGATAAGTGTAGGATAACTTGTTTCCACCAAGTTTATGCCAAGTGAATGTCAAATCAGAAACAAAACAACTTAGCATTAACAGAAAGGGTAAGGTGAGAAAAATTACGTACCACCACTCAGTATCTGGAATTGGCTCCTTGGGTTTTTCTTTTCTCGGGACACGTTCGGATACCTCTATCAAATTTGGATTTATATCATCCGTTGCCTTTGCCAGTTGTGCTTGCTTCACCTTCAGCTCTTTCGCTTTTGCTTCACCAAAATGACTCTATAAAGAAAAGACAGCAATACACACAATGAGAAATCTAAAAAGACCACCAAGAAGGAATATCGGTAAAAAGAATCCATACAAAAGACAATGCATACCTTAAACTTCAAATTCTCAGCATCTCTTGTCCATTTACCTTCCTCCACAAACTGGAAACTCATACGTTTAGGTCTCAGAATCTTTTTTTCATCAATACCCATCCTTGTGTCAAAATGGGGGTTTTCTTTTAGATCTGCTTCCAGTTGAGGTTTAAGAATCTGAAAAGCATCTTTCTTCCGTTTGTTTATGTTAACCTGTAAAATTCAAGTACTTTAGAAGCTCAATCATAAAAAGAAAAACATGAAAACTTAAGCTATACAAATTAACATTGCTGACCTTCAATGTACTAAGATTGCTTGGTTTAGTCACACTAATCACATTTCCGTGTTCATCTATTTCCCTTCCTAGTGCATCCACGCGCAGAACAGGGGGCTTTTCCGGTCTCTGTGCATCAGCCGTATCTGAGGGTGCCTGCCCTGGAAATAGGTTGATAACGGGAGCAAACATGGGATCCTGATGAAATCCCATGCTAGCTGCCAGCTCCTGGGCTCGCCTAACAGCTTGAATGTTGGAAATACTTCCAAGGCCAGCAAGGCCAGTATGTGGTACTGCTGAAGCAGAAGATGTGCCTGTAGAGGCAGCAGGAGTGGTAGCGGGTGATGGCACTCTGGTATGTGGGCTACCTTCTGAAGTTGGCTTAGTAACCTTCTTCAGCTGCACAGCGAATAAGAAAAGCAATTCATCAAATACATAGTTTTAAGAGAAGAATGAACGCAAATGTTAGAACATCTGCAAATCTTACCAAAGGAAGGTTCTTCAATTTTTCAGCCAATCCCTTTTGCAGCTGCAGTGCTTTCTGAGCTTTAGCTAACGCTGCTGAATCAAGAGACAAGTTTGCACTACTTTTCCCAGCTGTTGACAATGGTCTTCCATCTGTACTAGATTTTCCAGGAACCTCATGAGATCTGACAATACTACCCTTATTTTCATCCGTTGTAGATATCGAAGATACCTTAGTGAGCAGTGTTTGACTAGGGGCCATAGAAGCTTCCGATGCAACAGAACCATATGAAGAAGCGCCCTGCACAGAGACAAGACAATACAAGCATTTCAAAAACCATTCACAAACCTATTGAAGCAAATAAGACTAGAGGTAATCATGAAACTAAGAAGATTGACGAAAAGGTATAGAGAACTCACAATCGTGACGCCGTTGGTTGGATTCATAGCCCCAGAAGAAGACACAGAGACTTGACCATTTTTGTTCTCAACTTCCATGGCCACATCCTCAAACCTGCTCCTCCTCTCAGCATTCCCATCAGAAAACCTAGATTTCTTCTTCCCATCCCTAGCCCCATTCTCTTCGTCTCTCTCTTTCCTCTTGCTCCTCGATTCTTTCTCTTTACTTCCTTCGTGAGACCTCTCATGGTGATGCTTTTCCCTATCTCTACTCCCTTCTCTCTCGCCTCGATCTACAGATCCCCCTCTGCCCCGAGTTCTATCCTTGGTCCTATCTCTCTCATCTTCCCTATCGTCGCGCCTCGATGAACGGTAGTGATCTGAATCACGACGCTTGGAATCACCGTCGTGGTCACGGCGGCGACCGCCTTCACGTTGTGGAGAATGGTCGGGGCTTGAATCTCGATCACGATCGTCACGGTGGCTCCTGGAATATCTCTCCTTATCCATGGCAGATTTTAGGGTTTGTTTTCCTAACAAGAATCTGCTTCTGCTTCGCCGGTCCTATTAATATAGGATTATTCACAACCGGAATAAACCAGCTAGTCGAGACTGAACCAAAACGACCAGCGAAACCAATTTCCGAATCAGATTTTTGTTCCCTCTGAAAAACTGTAGAGTGCGAAAAGATGCTGGGAGATATATAATCATCACCGACTACTTGTCAAGCATCCGTATTCCACTATGGGCCAAAGCCCATTTCTGAGTTCCTTCTTCGGATAGTTCTTCAAATTTGAGTCTAATGGGCTTTTATGTCATTTTACTTCTTTTTAAAAAAGAAATTAATATTCAATTTTCTTTTTCTAACACTTGGTGTTGTCGCAAATTTCTTTCAAAGCCGAAATCCAAAGTTCTTAAGTTCATACCAACTACTTTTGAGCTAAACAAGATTTTTTGGCAAGAGCTTTCCTCAAATTAAATCATCGATCAAAACTCAAGAATTCAAATAATCCATATAATAGTAGTAATTTGCAAAAGGAATCGAAGCACAAACTCTCTTAATACGTGAAGATTTATGCTTTAGGTCAGTATCATTCTGATTCTTACCATTCGCCACGAACTTTTCAAGATATTTATACTCAGAAAAAATAGCGGATTATTTTGAAAACTACCCTGTTTTTAAGTTATACTTTGAAAAATACATTTTTTCTATTTTTTCATGAAAACTACAATCTTTTATATATAAAATGACAATTTGGTATTAATTTAAATTTAAAGCTATATTTTTAATAAATAAACTAAATTCAAAATTTAGGGAAACAAAAAAAAACTAAATTCAAGATAATTTTAGTTAAAGTTTTCTATATATATATATATATATATATATATATATATATATATATTTTAACACTAAAATGGTTTATCAATTTATATATGAAAATTTAACAAGATAATATCTAAAAATATTATAAAATCTATTACTTAAAATTTGTCATGTTATATAAAGTAAAATTATCTCCAACACTCCAAACACATTTTTCAACTCAACATTTCACAAAACTTTACTTCAATTCAATGATTCTCTTTGAATTTTTTTGTTATTCTTCATTGTTTTAAAAATAACGCATGACTTAACAAAAAATATGACTTCATATCGGTAGAATGTTGTTATGCATTATTTTTAAAAATATATTTATGATAATAAATTTTCGGAATTGTTAGTTATATAAAAACTTTGTAAAAATTTAATATTTAATTCTTATCAATAAATTTATTTTCTATTTAAAATATAGATATTTTGATTAATTTTTATTAAGTTTAAATTTTAGTAAATTTACATATTAAGTTAGTTTTTAAAAAAAATTAAAGAAAAGCTATTTTTCAAAGTGTAAACAAAAAGAAGGTATTTTTGCAAATTTACTCAAAAGTAGCAGTATACGGCTAAGTTATAAAAAAAAACAAAAAAACTTACTGAAGCCAATGGACAAAAAATAATATCTAACATGAATCCTAAAATATGTATACGATTTTAGCACCTCTCACTACAAAAAAAAGATCATTTAGCATCATTTATTTTGAATTTTTGTATTATTTATAATTGATGTAAAAGAATTTTACATCACTTAACTAAATGATTTATATATTATTGATGCAAATAATTTGCATCATTTTATTAACAACTGATGTTAATATTCAAAATACGTACATCGATTATTGTAATTGATGTCAATATATATCAATTGCTAAAAAATGATGTTAACTTTTACATCAATTTATTTAACTGATTTCAATATATTACAGAATAATAATTATTAGATTAATAAAATAATTAATTTTTTAATATATTTTTGAATTATTATTTGATTTGTTACTTTTTTTTTAATATATACCAAATCATGGTGAATATTCTCTCCCAAAATCTCTCATTGCAATCTTTGATAAAATACTTCACATGAACAATAAATCTTTTAACAGAAAAAAAAATTATAATTGAGTTTTGGTTTCTTCATGTACGTTTTTTTTTTTTTTTTTGAACTAAACTTCATGTACGTTTAAACACATCTTCCTTTGGTTCCATACTTGTTCCTTCCATTAATTGTTCTTTCTTCTTGGAAACTTCAATTCTTCTTCTATGCCATCTCTCTTCCATTTGTGGAATCAAGATCATACTTTGGTTATGACTTGAGATCTCTTGAATCATCATCACACTTAAGTTTTTGCTCTACAAAATAAAAAAAAGATTAATTGTTTAGAAATTTATAGAAATTTTTGATCGGAATTAGAATAATTATTTGTAAGTGTATTTAACATTAAGTGATGGAGTACCTTTAGTTTATGTTTCTCCAAATTGTGTAGGAAAACACAGAGTCCTAATGATCATTAGTGCAGTGTTCATGACAAATTTCTGAAAATAGAAGAACAAAAAAACTGAGTGATGGTCAAGAAAAAAAGAGAGGTAGAATGACAGAAAATAAGAAAGTATTTAAAGGTGGAGAATTGAATGAGATCGAGTTATGAGATTTCGAAAACTAACTTGAAGATATTCTAAAAACATTTTTTTGGAAATAAAATAGGAAAAAAAGATCGTGAGCGTAAAAGAAGGATTGTGGGTAAGGAATAAAAATAAATAAATTTGCTTATTTTGAGGATTAATAGGAACTAATATTATGATAAAACCAATATAATTATTTATTTATGGTAATAACAATTTAACGTCATCTATAACAAAATTTTCCAGTTATTTTTTTAATAATTAAATTACTTAAAAATTTATTAGCTTCACTTTTTATTGATATAGATTTTGTATCATTTTTAAAAGTGATGTTAATAAAATTAAGTGACTACATCGGTTGTTAATTGATGCAAATACATATCTTTGTATCAATTTTTTAAAGTGATGCAAACTAATACAAATTTGTATCACTTTGATTGAACTGATGCTAAACAAGTTAATTAACACATCACTTATTAAAATTGATGTTAAATTAATTATTTTGTGTCATTTGCTTATAAGTAATTTAAACTAGTATCATTTATATTTCTGATACTATTTAATTGATGTAATCCATCCTTTTTTTTGTAGTGTCTTCTGTCAAGAACCGGCCCTACAGACTACAGAGACGATGATATTATCTTCTCCTTTATAAATAATTCTTTTGATAAGAAGAAAAAAGGAATTCTTATTGAATTCCAATATATGGTATATGGTTTATCATGCACAGCAATATATGTTATACATTATGCTGCAATGTTCGTAAATACCAGAAAAAAAAGATGATTCAAGCCGTTACTACTTGCTACACTGATCAAAAAGTTAATTGCTATATACGGAAAGAATTAATCCCGTAAAAATCATGTGCTTTTGAACTAACTTTCCCTTTATACGTTAAAATAGATATTTAGGTGAAAAAGCAGATTAGATATTTTCCTTTAGATCTACAGTACCTCAACGTAATAATGGCAACTCCCTCAGCAGTCAGCACTCATTTACACCGTCAGATCTCAACATATCTCGATCTGAAACAATCCATCATACACAAACTTCCATACATCGCAACACAGTAATAAATCCCAAAGCCCTAACTGTTTACAATAATTAGCTTCGTTGTCTTCTTTATTCCAAAAGATTTGCAGATTATTTTGACAAAGCCCAAAAAAAAAAAAAAAAAAAAAAATCCGAAATGGAAAACGTGAGTAATGGATTTGTCATCATTCATTCTCACCGTCCTTAATCTCTGAAAGTTGATTTCGAATTTTGAGGAAGTTATGGCTAGTTCGAAGAGAGTACCGTGCGATTTCTGCGGCGAGAGAACGGCGGTTTTGTTTTGTAGAGCCGATACGGCGAAGCTGTGTTTGCCTTGTGATCAGCACGTGCACACAGCGAATCTCTTGTCGAGGAAGCACGTGCGATCTCAGATCTGCGATAATTGTGGTAACGAGCCAGTCTCTGTTCGGTGCTTCACCGATAATCTCATTTTGTGTCAAGAGTGTGATTGGGATGTTCACGGAAGCTGTTCAGTTTCCGATGCTCATGTTCGATCCGCCGTGGAAGGTTTTTCCGGTTGTCCATCGGCGTTGGAGCTTGCTGCTTTATGGGGACTTGATTTGGAACAAGGGAGGAAAGAAGAAGAGAGTCAAGTTCCGATGATGGCGTTGATGATGGAGAATTTTGGGATGCAGTTGGATTCATGGGTTTCGGGATCTAATGAATTGATTGTTCCCAGTGATACGATGTTTAAGAAACGTGGATCTAGTTGTGGGAGGTATAAGCAGGTGTTGTGTAAACAGCTTGAGGAGTTGCTTAAGAGTGGTGTTGTTGGTGGTGATGATGAAGATGGTGATGGTGACCGTGACCGTGACTGTGACCGTGAGGGTGATTGCGATGGAGATGGAGAAGCAGGAGAGGGGCTTATGGTTCCGGAGATGTCGGAGAGATTGGAATGGTCAAGAGATGTAGAGGAGATGAATGGCGGAGGAGTTAACCAGCAACCTTTGCAGTGGAATGCTACTACTAATCCTAGTGGTGGCCAGAGTTCTCAGGTTCACTCTCTTTTGATTTTTTGGCCATGAGGCTAAGAGCAGTTTAGTTTTTTCTGGTGGGTCAATCTGTTAATGAGCAAGTGAGATTAAGTGGTGAAATGGTTTTGTGTAAGGTCAAATTTAGTCGCTCTGTGTGGTTTTATGATTTCTCAAGAAGATCCAACAATGATGGGTTTCTTAACCTGTGCCGTGAACTTGTTTACAGATATGGGATTTTAACTTGGGACAGTCACGGGGACCTGAGGACACTAGACGAATGGAAGCTGCGGATGTAACCAAAGGTGCTGCTTCATTCACAATCAACAATTTTGTTGACCATATGAATGAAACTTGTTCCACTAATGCGAAAGGTGTCAAAGGGATTTGCAAGGTAATAGTTCTCATAAACCTTAGTTATTTAAGTGTTTTAAAACCCATAGGTTATACATCTCCAGTTCATTCTCAAAAACTGTTGTAGACAGTTGCTTCTCTCAATGAATGATAGAATTCAGAACATGAAGCCTACTCAGAAATAAGTTACACGCTGGTTTGCTTTTCTTTGTTTTACCTCAGCACCAAGCCCCCATTCTAACATTTTGGCTTATGATATCTATGTGCTAGGCAACTTAAATGTGATGCTGATTAGGATTCTTTTGCAGGATGACTACAAGCGATCAACTTCAGGCCAGGTACAACCATCAAAATCTGAGAGCAACAATCTTCCAATTACCTTTGGCTCAGAGAAAGGTTCGAACTCCTCCAGTGACTTGCATTTCACGGAGCATATTGCTGGAACTAGTTGTAAGACCACCAGACTCGTCGCAACTAAGGCTGATCTGGAGCGGCTGGCTCAGAACAGAGGAAATGCAATGCAGCGTTACAAGGAAAAGAGGAAGACACGCAGGTAAATGCTGCCTGCTTTTTTCCTCTTCCCTTTGGTAACTTTCTATTGCCCATCTCCCAAAGAACCTGATGTTAAGGATATTTCGTTTCTCCCTTTGTCTTGGATCTTGGGTGCCAACAGATATGATAAGACCATAAGGTATGAATCGAGGAAGGCAAGAGCTGACACTAGGTTGCGTGTCAGAGGCAGATTTGTGAAGGCTAGTGAAGCTCCTTACCCTTAAGTCTCTTCACATAGGTTTCCTTTTAGCTACAAAGTTAGTTACTTTTTTTACTTCCACTGCCTCGTAAATGTATAGACGGGTCTTGTTTCATTTGGCCGCCCTTTTCTGTTTTTTTGCCTTATCTGGCTCCTTTATGTACCTTGGAATCTTATCTAGTTGAAAAAGGATTGTAACCTTCTAGAAAGCAATATTCTGTTGACTGTATATACTTGTCTATCCAAGCATTTTGAAGTCTCACAACCTAATACCCCTTGATAGTCTTTGTTATAAAACCCTGATTTATGGCTGTTGATCAAAGTTTTCCAAGTCCAGTGCGCAGATGGCGAGCGGATGTATGGATGTGGTTCTTCTTGCTGTTTCTTGGGTGATTCTGGCTGTGTTAGCCAATTCAAAAGGTATACATCTCCCTACTTCAAGAGTTACTCGCAGGCACAACTTCTCAATCGATTCTAATGTAAATACATACATGTAGTGTAATGTTGTTTATGCCTGGAAGTCATAGTTCTGAAGAGCTGGGATCCGATGCAGGTGACTCCCTGTACTTGATTCTAAATTTCTTATGATGCTAACAATAGTGTCATTTGTGTGTGAGTATTATAATAACCTTAAACATACAGTGAGCTCACTCTAGGCATTAGATCATCGTCCGCTTGTCGTGGGAACACTAGTGCGAAACCATGAGTTTTGATTAGATACTTATATCTAGTTTTAAAGAAGGTTATCAATTTCAGGGCCGAACATATGTTTTGAATATTTGACAATTCTTCGAAAAAGACGACCAATTCTCTGACTTTCCTCTTAGCGACTAAAAAAAGGTTGAACTCCTTTATAAATTTTTCGTTTAACAATTCCCTTAGTACCGGACCACATTATGACTCCCTCAAAAAAACTCTTCTCTTTATGTTTCCTCTTCATCTTCATCTTACCTCTCTCACACGCGTCAAACCCTCAAAAATGTTCTTCATCCTATTCAGGATCATATTATAGATGTGGACCACTTGGAGTGTACATTCGTTTTCCTTTCTGCGGCCATCCAGGATTCAATCTCCACTGCAACAACCTCAATAAGACAGTCCTAGAGCTTCCTATGTCCGGAACATTTCTTGTTGATAGAATCGACTACTCAAAGCAGCAAATTTCTATCAGCGACCCTGAAGACTGTATGGTCAAAAGGCTTTTAACCTTCAATACTTCAGGATCTCCTTTCTCTAATGGCTTGAGTACTGTCTATTACACGTTCTTGACCTGTCCGAATGAGGTCGTGAGGCTGTCTTGGTATCCGCGCATCCGTTGCCTAAGCAATTCTACCTCCACCTTCTTTTCCACGTCTAATATGTCACTTGCAAATTCAATGCTGCCTTCTTGCCAGATCGTGAAGAGACTAGCTGTTCCGGTAAGCGTGTTTTATGAAAATGTGCTAACTCATGAGAAAGGATTCTCTGATTGGATCAACTATGTAAACCTTTTGCTGGAATGGAGCTCGCCAAATTGCACGGGTTGTGAAAAGAAGTCCTTGAGATGTGGTTTCAAGAACAAGGCCTCCCTCGAAGTCAAATGCTTCGCTTATCCACCCGGTATGATCTTTATGGTTTTAACTTCTTCTTCTTCTTCTTCTTTACTTATAAGTTATAATCGAAGAAAACTCCATTATTGGTAAGGCTGAAGAAGTTTTGGTAGAAAACTTCAAATCCAGGTATTCTTTTAGGTTTAATCAAGAAAAGTATTTATTCATCAAAAAAAAAGGGAAAGAAATCCTAGTAGGAATTACATTTGGAAATTAGTAATTGACTAGTGGATTCGTTAATTAGTTTTTCTTTGGTCGAAGATTAGCTCTAATTTAACCAACGGAAGCATTCTCAATTTCTCATTCCCCACGCTAGCTAGCGATCGCTATTCGTTAGAATACTCGGTATAATTTTTTTTTATTAAACTGACATTTGTTGAAATAAACAAATGTCAAACCAAAATCCTATTTAATTAAACTCTCTACTTCGACTGTTTAAAACTCATTCTTGATATGTTATCCGGCAGATGAAACAAACGATAGCTTACGAGTACTAATTATAATCCTCTGCTCAATCGGAGGAATCACCATCTTCACTACTTGTATTGTTATGCCCATTTGCAATTCAGAGAGGTTTGTCTTTCAGAGAAGACAAAATGCTGCTATCGCAGACACAGCCCTAACGCAGCAGCCAAGAGGGGATGTGGTCACTACAGGTCTTGACCAGTCTACAATAGAGTCATACAAGAAAGTGGAGTTAGGAGAAAGTAGAAGGCTTCCGGGTACTAATGGTATCATCTGTCCCATTTGTTTATCAGAATATGCTAGCAAAGAGACTGTACGGTGCATGCCAGAATGTGAACACTGTTTCCACGTCGAATGTATCGATGCATGGCTCAAGATTCATAATTCATGTCCTGTTTGTCGTAACTCACGCTCGTAATGAAGGTGGTTGTCCGAATATGAAGTATTTCAACATTGTAATGAACGTCACTAATTATTCTGTTTTGTGATAAATATGTGTTTATATATATGGAGTGAAGATGTATATTTGTTCTGGATTAAAGATTAATGATATTGTTTTTTCTATATAGTTATAGCTGAACGTGACCGCTTTCCACACGTGATGTGTCAATGTCTTGTTTAAGACGCAAGGTTAGTGTCTTTTTGTTTTGTTTGGAGTTCTTCTCCGGCTTTGTGCCAAACTACATGAAATGTTTGGAATCCATATCAACCATTATATGTGTCGCATAACCAACACAATCAATATACTGCTATAAAAAAAATTGAATTGAAAGAGTATTTCAAGGTTGCAATGGATGGAAAAGTTATTATAAATGTGGGTATTTCAAGTTGGATTTATTATCAAACACCCCATTTACGTAACATATATACTTCAATATTTGACTATTCTTCGAAAAAGACATATACAATTTTCTCTGACTAATTTCCTCTTAGTGACTATATAAGAAATTGTTGAACTCTTTCATAAATTTTCGTTTTAACAATTTCCCTTAGTATCGGACCACATTATGTCTCTCTCAAAACAACTCTCCCCTTTAGTTTTCCTCGTCCTCTTCATCTTCCCTCTCCAACACGCCTCAAGCCCTAAAAAATGTTCTTCATCCTATTCAGAATCATATGATAATACATGTGGACGATTCGGAATTCCCATTCGTTTTCCTCTCTGCGACCACAAAGATTTCAATCTCCGCTGCAACGACCTCAACAAGACAGTCCTAGACCTTCCTTTTTCTGGAACATTTCTTGTCACGAAAATCGACTACATAAAGCAGAAGATCTCTATCAACGACCCTGAAGACTGCTTTGTTAAGAGGCTTTTAACCTTCAATACTTCAGGATCTCCTTTCTCTCCTCGCTTCAGTCTCCAATACACGTTCTTGAAGCCGTCTTGGTATCCGCCCATCCGTTGCCTAAGCAATTCTACCTCCTCTTTTTTCGCCACGTCTAATTTGACTCTCGCAAATTCGATGCTACCTTCTTGCCAGATCGTGAAGAGAGTAGCTGTGCCGGTTAATCTGCTGTTTGAAAATGATAAATTTGCTACTCTCATCAACATTGTAGACGTCGTGCTGGAATGGAGCTCACCGAATTGCAAAGGCTGTGAAATGGATTCCTTGAGATGTAATTTCAAAAACAAGGCCTCCCTTGAAGTCAAATGCTTCGCTGATAATTCCGGTACGATCTTGATTATTTAACCTCTTCTTTTTCTTCTCTTTGTTCTTATAATCGAAAAAAAACTCCATTATTGTTAAGGCTGAAGTAGTTTTGGTGGAAAACTTCAACTCCAGGTATTCTTTTAGGTTTAGGTTATTCAAGTAATTATTTACTCTCTAAAAAAAATTTAGAAATCCTAGTAGGAATTAAATTGGGAAAATGATGAATTGACTTAATCTGCTTCGAATTATTTTCAAATTTAATATTTCACTTCAACCAACCCATTACGCTACCAAACAATATTAGATTTTTCTTTTCTTCTGAATGCAGCTAACACTTAAACAAAACAAAATAAAATCATATTAGATTCATTTTCAATAGCTTTACCAACAAAAAAAAAGATTCGATTTAAAAAGATTTGATAAGTACGTGAATTAAACTGATAACTTTTAAAATAAACAAAAATCAACCAAAATCCTAATCAATAAAACACTCTACTTTAACTGTTTAAAATCATTATTGAAACGTTATTCAGCAGGTCATTTAAGGTCTAGATTACGACTACTAATTATAACCCTCTGCATAATCGGAGGAATCACCGCAACTTTTATTGCTATCCACGTTTACAATTCCGAGAGGTTTGTCAATCAGAGAAGACAAAATGCAGCTATTGCAGCCAGAACCATAACGCAACAACCACGAGGGGTTGTGGACTTGTGGTCACTACGGGTCTTGACCAGTCTACAATAGAATCATACAAGAAAGTGGAGTTGGGAGAAAGTAGAAGGCTTCCGGGTACTAATGGTATCATCTGTCCCATTTGTTTATCGGAATATGCTAGCAAAGAGACTGTACGGTGCATACCAGAATGTGATCACTGTTTCCACGTTGAATGTATCGATGCATGGCTCAAGATTCATAATTCATGTCCTGTTTGTCGGAACTCACGCTCGTAATGGAAGTTGTTGTCGTTGTTGTTGTTGTTGTAATTGTTGTTTTGAATATGAAGTATTTCGACATTTTAATGAATGTCACTAATTCTTCTATTTGGTGATAAATATGTGTTTATATGTATGTTCTAGATTAAAGATTAATGATATTGTTTTTGATTTTTCCACTAGACTTATCTCGTAAACTTACGCTTCATAATTATTTCGGAGACAAATTAATGCTTCATCATAGTAATGAAGTATTACGCCAAACATAAAAAAGACCTAAGTTTATTTATTTTATTTTAATAGGCATACGTTATTGAAAGAATAATGAAAGATTTAAGTATAATAGCGTAAAAGGAACAAGCAAAAAAAGCTTTTAAAAGGAACAAATCAAACCAAACCAGAAGCAGGGAAAACTCAGCAGTCAGGTGCCATCTCTAACTTAAGTTTATGGCGATCAAAATAATGTTGGACTTCCATCCTCTGATTGTATAATGACTCAAATAATTCTGGAGTTTCTGTAAATCAGGTTTTATTACATGTTCAAACATATGAAAAAACAACTCAAGAGCAAAAAGCAAACAACCGAACAAAGCATATATAGCTAATGATCAAATGATACATAGTTTTATTTATTCGCAGGGCATAATATATAATAATGTTTCGATAATATACTTAAAGGGCACAGTAAGTGGTGAGATCAGATATGTCTTTCCTTGCATTAGGTAAGTTGCTGAATTTCAAGAAACCCCAAAAATCAAAAGGCTTATAGAGACGAGGATGTTCATCATCTACCATCTCCTCAGGCGCATTTATGATCACTCCTTCTTTAGGAATCGTGAACAGTGCAGCCACATACCGATCTTTCTTTCCGGTTATAACCACACGGTGAAGCGGAGGAAATACCCCACCATTCAACAGTACCTACAACACCGTATTCTTACATATGTTAAATCACATAATTAAAAGGTTATAAAAGAATGAAACTTGAGAGACAAGGAAGCTTAATTTTAGTTACATGAAGAGAAGCTCCGGCCATAACAATGAAAGAAGAAGCTTGAGATGGCTTAACTTTGATCCACTCTTGGCCATCTTTGGTTTTGATCTCCAAGCCATCTACTGCATCGTTCTGGCAGAGTATTGTGAGGAAATGCCTATCGATATGAGGGTAAAAACCTATCTTATTCTCTGTATTATCATCGGAGAGTCCTTTGTATTTAAGTAACTGAAAGTGCTTATTCGCTGAGTTAAGATGCTCCTCCATGTATTTCTCGAGTCCGAAACTCTCCAGAGTCATTGTCCTCACCTTCAAGTTTAATTCTATTAACTTCTCCGCAAACGACTGAACATTCTTGCTGAAATATATATGTAATACATCTTAGTAATCGATATATACCTCTGTTTTGACATTTTTAAATTATTAACCATCATTCATGATATATAAAATATTGTAAACATATACTATACTGATATAGACTGAACTTTATAGACGATTATATAGTTAAGTGAGACAAATATTTGGTTTACATGTATTAGAGCGGATTTTAGGTGATTAAAAAATAAATTCATCAATCTATCTTCATCACACTCCGCTTATTGGTTAAAATGTTCTGATTGGTTATATTAAAAAAAATTTGCATTAAAAAGGTGACAAATCATGAATTAAAGTTGACAAATCATGAATTGCCCAAAGTGGAGAAATCAGAAACGAAGATTTATTGGTGTCATTAAACCATGATAGAGAAATGGTCCAAATTTTTTAAGACGAAAAAGGGTTAAATTAAATATTTTTAATAAGTTATTATAAAAAAATTATAGATAAAAATCGTAAGTGTCATTCAAAGAGATAATTAAATATATATTTTTCGTAAGTTATTATAACAGCTTTATTTTGTTCTAAAAACTTTACACAAAACTAAAGCTAAAACTAATATTAAAATATAAAAACTTATCTTAGAACTCATTTTTATTTCAAAAGTTGTTAAAAACCAAATACTAAATAAATTACCATTCACATTTTTAAATAAATTAAAACCAAGAGCCAAATATTTCTGTAAAAGCCTACAATTCATTGCCAAAAGTTTGTTTCAAGTGATAACTGATAAGAAGGGTACCTGACGAAGATGTTGCCTTGATCCCAAAGCTTGTGAGTCAAGTCATTCACAACATTAGGATTATCTACACCATAAAAGCCCATGCCCTCTTGTAAAGGGACTCTCGGAATCGTCAAGTATCCTTCGTAATGCACGTCTGTCTTTGTACTCAGTTTGGTCTCCAATGGCAAATCGAAAACCTCCTTGGAGGCCTCGAACAAGGCCTTCCTTAGCTCCATGGAAGCTCCATCGAACAAGGCCTCGAAACATCCGTACTCTTCTAAGGCTTTTCGGACTTGGGATCTCACCAAGTCCCACTCGGGGGTTTCCGGTTTGAGATCTTGACTGGAGAAGTCGATGATCGGGAGCGAAAGGGGAAGTTGGGTTTCCGAACTTATCGCCATCTTTAGTTGGTGTTGTGTAAAGATTTCAAGATTAGGAGGAGAAACCTAAGAGGAGAAAGGCCAAGTGTTCACATATATAGTCCAAGTGTTCACCACGTGTTCACATATATTTCGGCCCAAAAGACCAAACATGACAACCCAATCAAATATCACATTCATACATTGATCATATGATTACATACCATTTAAACATTGATCATATGATTACATACCAAATCAACAATAAAAATAATTAGAAATTATGAATAAAATAAAGAAATAAATTCTATTTATTTTATGAATTAAGAAAATTAAATTTATATAAACAATCAAAACTAAAATAGAAAAAATCTCTTAATAATAACAATCCTAGAAAATGAATCCTAAGGGGATGTATTCGAACTAGGATTTTAATAAATTTTGGGTTTTTATTGAAATCACCTGTTATTGAACTTGTGATTTTAAATAATTTTCTATCCCATGTTATTGAACTTGCATTGTATATATATATATATATATATATACTTTTTTTCGTCGAAACAAGAATTATATTAATGATATAAGTCAATACAGAGCTGTTTTTAGAGCCACAATGGCTGGGTTACAGAATCAGAATAAAACACAGAAGTTAGACAACCAAACTTTGCTAGATTATGTGCAGCCATATTTCCTTCTCTCTTCGTGAAAATGAACCGTGTCCGTTGGAACTTCCTTGCCCAAAATTTGATATCTTGCAGGAGATTTGTCAATGTTCCAATTCGTGATGACTCGTTTATAGTTCGTATTAAGATTTCACAATCCCCTTCAAAGGAAATCGTTTTGTAGCCGCGAACCCAGGTTTGTTGCATAGCCGCTATTAAAGCTTTTGTTTCGGCTTCTAGAGGAGAAGCAGCGTAGCCTAATTGCAGTGAACCCCAATGTTTAGATAGTCCATGATGATCTCTAATAATCCAGCCCGCTGTAGCTTGTTGAGTGTGAATATCAAAACCAGCATCAAAATTGCATTTAATGTATGGAAACGACGGGGCTGTCCAACACCGGAGAGATGGAGGTGGAGATGTGTTGTGACTGGGCATGGTGTCTCTGCGCTTGTGAGGTGTAGTGGCTATAATCCATTGTGTTGTTTCAGCTTGTGCCTTCAAAACTGTCTTGGAAGCACTCTCTCGGCCTTTGTTGAAGACAAAATGGTTTCTAGCTTTCCATATTCTCCAAAGAAACCAATAGGGCATTAATTTTTGGTCATCCTGAATTGTTTGGTTTGTAAGGAGATTCATTAAGTTGCTTAGATTTTCTTCAAAAACAGGGGTGAAGCGAATATTCCGTAGAGGAGGTATACTCGCTAATCTCCAAACCATCATTGCGAAAGGGCAGGAAAACAGAGCATGGTTTATACTTTCTTCTTCTTTTCGACATCGGGGGCACATACGATCAACATTCATACCACGTGAATTTAATCTAGTCATGGTGGCTAAAGCTTGAGAAAGGGACCTCCAGAGGAAATGTTTTATCTTTGGCATAATTGGTAACTTCCAAACTCTATTCTTCAAATCTATAGAACCTGGAGGAATATGGAGCCTATTGTGATCGTGAGGGTCATGGGTTAATAACCAATAGCCTGAACGAACCGAGTAGTCTCCTGAGGTATTATAGTTCCAAATAATGGTGTCGCAGTTCTGTTCCATTGAAAGGTGAGAGTTTTGGAGAAGTGAACTATCTCTTTGGTCAACGTGAGCAGCTATCTTTGAAGTATCCCATGAGCGAATATTACCTTGATTTGAGATGAGGTTTTCTAATAGGCTATTCCTGTATGATTCATTGACACGGATTGGCCTGGGAGGGTGGTCATCAAAAACATTATCAACACCTAAACGAATAGTTTTGCCATCTCCGACTATATATCTGGATCCTTTTTTGAGTAAGGCAATGCCTGATAGAAGAGATGACCAGCCATAAGATTGGTATTTACGATCCTTTGCATCTAGAATCGATTCATCACGGAAGTAACGAGCCTTCATGATTTTGGCAAATAGAGAATTGGGATGTTGAATAATACGCCAAGCTTGTTTTGCAAGTAATGCATCGTTGAATTTTGCCAAATCACGAAAACCGAGTCCTCCTTCTTTTTTAGAAAATTGCAATCTTTTCCAAGCAATCCAAGGTATTCCTCTTTTTTTTGAATTCTTCTCCCACCAGAAGTTCATCAGAAGTGACTCAATTTCCGAGATTATTCCTTGTGGTAGTTTGAAACATGACATCGCATACACCGGCATTGCTAGAGCCACCGATTTTATTAAGATTTCTTTTCCAGCCGGTGACAGGAATTTTGCACTCCAGGAGGTTGTTCTCTTCTTTACACGTTCGATAATGTATTCAAACATCTCCTTTTTCTTCCGGCCGAACTGCTCAGGTAGTCCTAAATATTTACCTCCTCCACCATGGTTTTGGATGGATAAAATGTTCTTAAGCCGATGTTGAGTATTGCCAAAAATTCGTGAGCCAAAAGTTATCATAGATTTTTCTTTATTTATTTTTTGGCCCGAATAATATTCATAGACATCGAAAACATCTTTAAGGGCTTGACAATTTTTTGTGTTTGCTTGGCAAAAGAAGAGAGGATCATCCGCAAACTGTAAATGTGTAATGGCCGGTACTCCATTGCCGATTCTCACACCTCTTATTTCCCCATCTTGAGCTTTACTTCGAATTAAGTGACTTAAAATGTTACTACAAAGGATAAATAGATATGGGGATAGTGGATCACCTTGTCTTATACCTCTTGATGGTGTGATATATCCATGAGGAGTACCATTAATTAAGACTGAATAGCGGACTGATCGGACTGTTGCCATAATCCAGTTTATCCATTTGTCGCAGAAACCAAACAAACGCATTGTTGTTTCCAAGAAACTCCATTCAACTCTATCATACGCTTTGCTCACATCCGTTTTCACCGCCATATAAGTTTGCGAAACTCGTTTTCTGGTTTTCAATGAATGCATAACTTCATGTGCTATCATGACATTGTCATTGATAAGGCCGGGATGAAAGCGGCTTGTGCATCGGAGACAATCGAATTAAGATGCGTTTTGAGACGTCGAACCAAGCATTTAGAGATGATCTTATATAGCACATTGCACAAAGCAATCGGTCTATAGTCAGAGAGAGTTAATGGGTTTGTTATTTTAGGTATCATACAAATGTTTGTATGGTTTAAAATTTTTTCCATTCGAGAAGTTGCGAAAAACGATTTAACCTCCTTAATAACGTCCTTACCAACTATGTGCCAACATTGCTTGTAGAAGCGTGCTGTTAATCCATCCGGCCCAGGAGCTTTATCATCGCCAATTAAGCAAATAGCTTCATAGATTTAGGTGTCACTGAATTCCTTTGTTAATTCTGTATTCACCGTTGGAGTGACTGTTGATTGGAAATCTCCAAAGTCAATTGGTGCGACAGGGTTACCATTGGAGGTATAAATATTTGTGAAGAAATCCTGAGCATGAATACCAATCTCTTTATCACCACGGTACGTCGTACCCTCGTTGTCATCTATTGAATGAATCCGATTATGGGAAAATCTTGTTTTTGTGCAGGCATGGAAGAAACCAGTGTTGCGATCTCCTTCATTCATCCATTGATTTCGGCTCTTTTGTTGCCAATATATTTCTTCATCCGAGTAAGCTTTTGAGAGAGCAACTTGAAGCTGTGGGATTTGTTGTCTCTCTAATGGTAGCTGACTGTTTAAGGCTTTGTTAAGTCGAGACTTTATCATTTTGATGCGAATGTCTGCATTCAAATTGGAATGATGTTTCAGTCTTGCCATTGCTTGACGACAAGATCTTATACGATCTGAGATAGGAGTCTGGTACGTGTAGTTTCTTTTTGACCATCCTTCCTTGACCACGTCCTTAAACGTCAATACATCAATCAACCTCTTATCAAACCGGAAAACTTTATTTCTTGGTGGTTCTATGTTGTTTAGTCGAACCAGGATTGGTTTATGATCAGAACCAGTAAAATCTAAAAATTCAGCTTCAGCGTTAGGGTACTCTGTTCTCCAAACTGAGTTTATGAAAACTCTATCTAGACAACTTTTGATTGAATGATTATGTCTCTCTCCTGACCACGAAAACCTGTCTCCCTTTGATTGCATATCAGTGAGATCACAATTTGTTATCATATTTCGGAAATTTCTGAAAGTCCAGTTCTCCCTTTGAGGACCCCCTATTTTCTCTGAATTTGATAAGATTTCATTAAAGTCACCAACAAGGATCCAAGCTCCGTTACGATTCTGTGAAAGTGTTTCAATGTGTTGCCATAGGAGATAACGTTCACTTTGAATTGGATGGCCATATACACAAGACAAGTAGAAGCTCTTTTCATTATATATTACATCAACATCAATGAGTCTTTCATCTCGAGAAATCAGAGATAAGGACACATTATTCTTCCACATAATAGCTAGGCCACCACTCCTTCCTTGAGGGGGCTGAGTAATGACATTAGCATAACCTAAATCACACGCTAATTTACATACTATTTCACACTTATTTAGAGTTTCTATTAGGAATAGGATATCACACTTAAATAAACGTACAAATTGAAACAAACGAGACTGCTTTGAAGACGAACCAAGACCTTGACAATTCCAGGATGCGATCCTCATGGGGGAAAGTATAGGGGTACCGGGCCCCCCGCGCCTCCGTCACGTCCTGTTGTTGAACACGAGCCCTCAAATTCAACTCTTTTCTTCTTACGAATCTGGCTTAAAACAGCAAAATCCTCTGTAGCCTCCCATTCCCTGTAGTACTCTTGAGAGTCCATCCTCTTGCGCTTGATGAACATTGGTCCATTAGCATTGTCTGAGACATGATCATGAAAGGATGGTTCACGAAGACCTGCCTGGCCATTGAGGAGCTTGGCATGAAGGTAGGTTAGCCTCTCCGCTGTTAATTCCGTGTCCTCAAAAAAGCTTGGTAAGTCAGATAGACTTGTGTTGCTAGGAGTAACCTGCTGTGGTGAAGGAAAGACAGCCTTTCCATTCTTCGAGCCAATACCAGGGATTACCTCAAAAGGATCAATTGTTTGCAGAGAGTCTGTGTCAACATTGTCACCTTGAATAGTCTTATCTTTTCCTGGATCATCATTGTCTGGATCCTAAGGATCAACAGGTGGATCCTGCGGATCATCAAATACAAGGTTGCAATCTTTGACATCATGCTTCAGCGACCCACATTTGGAGCAGAAACTCCTTAGACGCTCAAACTTGAACTTCACAATTGTTCCCAACTCAGAATTGAAATTGAAAACCCTTTGAAAGCGAAGAGGATTGTCGATGTTCCAAGCCATTTGAACCCTAACAAATTCCACCTTATTGGTGTTCTCATCAAAATCAACATCCTTTACCAGCCCCAATTGGTTTCCTACATACTCAGCCATATCCCTTGACAAGTAGAGTAAAGGGATTCCTTTAATCTGAACCCAGAAATTGATTACCTTCATTTCTTCTTCACTGATGTTAGGATACCATCGGTGAACGGTAAGCATCCAGTCATTGAAAGCCCAAGGTCCTCGACGCAACACTAGATTGAGTGCTTCCTCACTCTGGAACACAAATTGGACACGACCCTGTCCCAGAATTCGACCGATGCACGAATCCGTGAACCCCCAAACACGAGGCATTTGGCCAATCAAAGCTTTGAGATTTTGCTTCCGGGGATTGACAGTCGTGACCACGAGAGAGTAGCGGTTTGCAGTCGCCGCTTTGGCACAGAATTCCGGTGGTAATGAAACAGGAGCCTCGTCAATTCCGAGGTCCAAATCTTGGATTGACTTGCGTAAGTAATCGCTCATTGTTGAAAGAAAGGTGTTTAAGATTGTGGAGTGGAGTAGAACAGAGAAAAATGGAAGAATTCCGACAGATATATAGGTCAGCCATGGCGGTTTCAGAAAGCGGTTTTGATGAAACGGTTGAGAAAACCGAAAACTACCATGGAAACTGCCCCGAAAACGAAGCAGATGGAAACCGACTGATTCAATTTCAGGGACATAAATCGAATCTGCCGGAAAAACGCTCCAAAAAAGAGGAGAAGAGAGGCGTCGATGGAGGAATCTCCGATCGCCCAAAAAATCGCCACAGAGAAACTTGCATTGTATATAAATTCATTCAAAATAACCTAGAATTTTTTGTTATTCAATCAAAGATTTATAAAAATCATATCAAATATGTTATTCAAACTTAACAAAATAATTAAAAATAATATTGAAAACTGATTTTAGGAGATTTTAGATTCATTTTAATTGAATAATAAAAATGAAAAAAATCACACCAATAGGGTTGCGTCTTTTTGTTGTA